TCAAACATACCAATGTTATTGTTTTTGGTACACTGGATTTCGCCAAGTAGTGCCCTCATGATCATGATTTGTCCGATGGAATCTTTCCTTCCGGTGATTCCGGTCTATGATTGCTACCTGGAGCTCTGGTGCTGAGCATAAGGTTGATGAAGTTTTCACCCGCTTCTGCTCAGGCTGTGCCTTCTTGTCGCCAGACAGTTGTCTCTTCGGAGTGCGTGCAACCGTTCCCTTACCACCGGAGGCTATAGCAGCTGCCGATGTCGAGGCCGTCCAGCCGTGGGAACACTGGCCTCGTGGTCTTCGGCACCTTGGGCGTCAGTGACTGCGACGACTTGTTATTTCCAACAGCGGACAGGGGAGAAGCTTTCTTCGTCGACAGACTGCCCCCTAGAGGGGGGTTTGGTTACAGCGTCTCTTTTTTCGGAGTTGGTGGCTTTTCCAGAGACAGCGGCCTCATTTTCGGAAGCATTCGAGGCTTTCTCCTCACGGAGTCGCTCATTCTTCCGTACAATGTAGGCATGCTTCTTTTGAAGAGCCTTGTCCCTTGGCGTTAGAGTGGCGGGGTCGCACTATGCATTTTATACCTACTGCCAGGTGAAGATTGTCCTGTCGCCCAATATGGGTCAGACGCCGATCAGGGAGCCGTCCCACTGGGGAACAGACGCTTCAGGATTTGTCGGTGCGTTTTCAAACGCGAAGATTGGTGTCCCTTACGTATTGATCCACACGTCATCAAGTTCTTAACGTCCTGAGCGTTCGTCGATGCACGTCACGTACAGTCCGGGTCCAGTCCACACTACGGGAGCTCAGCCTTTAGCGAGGATATACCGCCTCGCATCGGTAGACAGAGCCTCGTTAGCGATAACAGGGACCACCAAGCCTTGATGGACAGTGGGTGAGGCTGTCGTTTGGGAAGGATAGGTTATAGATTCACTTCACTCCCCCATTAGACCCCAATATAAAATACATGGAAAACTTTGGGCGCTTTGAGCGATCTCTATATATTTTTTTGATTTCAAATTAAAAAAATAAGGGTATACTTTTTTCAGTATAAAACAATCCTAGGTGGTGAGAGCATAAAAATTCCGACTTTACCTTTTCACATGCATTTTTGGACCACCCTAATACATATCACATACATATATTGGCATAGATATTTATACACAATTAATGATAGGTACATAAATTTTTTATATTGAAACTAGATATTTATATAGTATGTTATTATTATTATTCGGTTCAAAAAAGCCCCATCTCAAACGAAAATGCATTGAAAATGTGCTGAGATAAAGCGTTTTTGAATCGTCAGCTGAGATAGGGTATTTTTGGTTCTAGTTTTGAGATAGGGCGTTTTTCAATAAAATTCTAAAATAGGGCGTTTTTCAGCCAAATTTTTAAATAGGATGTTGTTGAAAAGTTTTCTGATATCGGGCGTTCTCGAACTCTCTGCCCAGATAGGTCGATCTTCCTCTAAGTCATCGATATACAGTGTCATTTTTTGTTATATGGAAGACGAATAAACACAATGTTGTTACAAGAAGCTCTTTTCTTGTTAGCAAAAGACTACAGTAGCGGGCGGTGTGTAAACCTTGATAAGCGAACAGATTTACCGAATGCCCAAAACGCAACGTATGTGTCCAATTTGATGACCAGCAAATATCAAACGATGTGCTTCTCTCGAACGAATGATTAGCAATAGTTTATTAGAACACATATTAAATTGTACATGCTGATAACTTGGTAAACGAAAACAAGTGAGAGTAGGAATGAGTGTAATTACATATGTATGTTAGACAGTGTGTGTGTATGTGCAACTATAGAGTTAATGCATGTTAGGTTTACAGCGTGAGTGGAAATTATAGTGCTAACACTTAAAACTAATATTTTATCTGCTGCTTGAGCCGGCATCATTAGGGTGATCCAACATCCCGGGCCCATTGAAAGAAATTTCTTTCAAGAGACAGGCAGAATAGCAAGTTTGTGTATAGGTCGACAGCAAGGTCCATTAGCAGTGCGAAGATGTGCTACGCGAACATGACCGTCACGTCCAAGTACGGTGGATTCGACGCGACCAAGCCTCCAACGTTGTGGTGGTAGATTGTCGTCGTGGATGACAACTAGGGTTCCATTTTTTAAGTTGGGTGAAGGTGACGTCCATTTGACACGAGCGCGTAATTCGTTTATATATTCTGCAGACCAGCGGCGCCAAAATCGTTGTTTAATCGAAGTGATCGTGTCATAGCGATCCAAGTTGGAGATGCTCCTGTGGTCTAGTGATCGCTCAGGCAACGCACGTAGGGAGTCGCCAACTAAGAAATGTCCAGCAGTGAGTGCGCCAAAGTCATTGGGGTCTGAGGACAACGGTGATAGTGGGCGCGAGTTGAGTACGGCCTCGATTTCCACAGCGACCGTGCTCAGCTCTTCATATGTTAGTCTGGTGTTTGCTAAGGTCCGATTTAATAGTCCTTTTGCGCTCTTAACCGCTGCTTCCCAAAGGCCGCCAAAGTGGGGTGCCCTGGGAGGAATAAAATTAAAGTTAATGAAATCAGAAGCACAGAATTTGTAAATTTCTTCTTGCGTGTCTTTTCTAAACAGAAATTGTTTGAGTTCTTTCAGGTGGTTAGAGGGGCCAACAAAATTTGTAGCATTGTCACAATATATTTCGCATGGCATTTTACGACGACCGCCCATACGCTTTAAAGCATTTAGAAATGCCTTTGTTGACAAGTCCGAAACTACCTCTATATGGACTGCTTTAGTCAGCAGGCAAACGAATACTGCTAAATACGACTTGTTAGGGGCCTTTCCTCGAACACGTAGATAAGTACTTATGGGACCACAAAAGTCGACTCCACAACGTTCGAAAGGTCGTGCTGGTGTGAGGCGTGCAGCTGGCAGAGGCCCCATGACCTGTTCCAGTAGCTTTGGTCTATAGCGGACGCAATGCACACAAGAACGAACAATGCGACGAGCTAAGTCCCTAGCGTTGACGATCCAAAACTCAAGGCGAATCAATGCTACTAATGCTTTAGGGCCGGCATGGTAATTATGTAGGTGAAGGTGTCGAACGTATTTGAGCACAAATTGTGAGTTGCTGGGCAGCAGGATCGGATGTTTTTGGCATTCTGGCACGTCGACGTAATCCAAGCGGCCACCAACTTTAATAAGCTCAAATCCTGAAGAGTTATCTAGAAATGGTGTTAGAAATTTTAAATTATTGTTTAATGGCTGATTCCTTTGAAGACGGAGCCGATCGTCGGAGAAATGTTGCGTTTGAATATTCCAGATGATGCAGTGTAAAGCGTGTCGCATTTCTTGAGGCGACGGCGACGAACTAGTAGATGACGGCATTTTTCTGCATTTGTCACAGAATCGACACACCCAAGCAACCAGACGCAAGCAATGGCGGTATGAGCTGATACCATCAATAATTTCTAGTAAATAGTTCGTCTCCTTGACTGCAGCAAACAAGGCTTTGCGTTTCTCGGCGTTGACTATGTCCATATCAATTTCAATCTTACCTTTGCTTTGAGGCCATTTCGACATTTCTTCACGTAAAAATGAAGGGCCTGAAAACCAGGTCGATGATTTGAGTTCGGAGACAGCGCATCCTCGAGATACAAGATCAGCGGGATTTTCCTTGGTTGGCACAAATTTCCAACGTCCTTCTGAAGTCAACTCTTGTATGTTGGATATTCTGTTGCCTACGAACGTCGATAAAGTGGCTGAATGCTGTTGCAACCAGTGTAGTACTAGTTGCGAGTCAGTCCAAAAGTAAGTGGAAGTGGGTCGATTGATGAAAATGTCTTTTGTTTTGGCATATAGGTGAGCGAGAAGGTGCGCGCCGCACAGTTCAAGCTTAGGGAGCGATTGCTTCTTTACTGGCGCGACTCTGGACTTTGATGTAAGCAAGTGAACAGCAACATGTCCACCCAAATCTTCCGTTCTCACATACAACGCGCAGCCGTATGCGCGAATTGATGCGTCACAAAACCCATGAATTTGAATGTTGCGAGCATTTGGTTGCAGACAGTAGCGAGGCGCAGTAAGAGACGAGATCGAATTGAATGATTCTAAACAGTTGTTCCACGCATTATACAGATTCTGAGGCACGGACTCATCCCAGTTGAGCTTTAGCAACCATAATTCTTGAAGAATTATCTTCGCTGTAATAACGAGTGGTGACAATAATCCGAGGGGATCAAACAGGGATGACGCGACAGAGAGGATTGTTCGCTTTGTTACGGAAGTGTAAACTTGCTTGGGTTTGAATGTGAACAAGAGAACGTCACGGCGTTGATGCCAAGTTACCCCAAGCGCGCTAGTTACGGAATCATCGGTGATGCTAAGCTCCTTAGTTGTCCGACTTTCCATGAAATCTGGGTGGTTTGAGTGCCATTTTGACAGTGAAAAATGACCTCGACGAAGAACTTCAGTTACCTCCATTTTTAGGGTCTGCAACGTCTCGATTTCGTCAGCTCCACACAGCATATCGGCGACATAAAATGACGACTTTATATCCGAAGCACCGGTTGGAAGCTCATCCATGTACTGGTCCGCCAGAAAATGGAGACTGCGGACCGCAAGGTATGGCGCTGATGCTGTTCCATACGTAACGGTGTTAAGATGGTAAGTGCGGAGATCTAGATCTGGAGAGGCTCGCCAAAGGATATATTGAAATTGCCTGTACATCTTGGTGATATCCGCGGTTATGGCATATCGATATAACCGGAACCGCAACAGTAGAATGTACAGCTCCTCTTGGATTGTAGGCCCCACTAACAGCAGATCGCTCAGTGATGTTTGCGTTGTAGTGCGACATGAGGCGTCAAACACCACTCGTAGTTTGGTTGATTCGCTGTTCTTCCAATTTAGGTGCTACAACGGCAGACATGTGACCAAGACTTTCGTATTCTTCCATGAACGAAATGTATTGTTGTCGAATGTCAGGTGAATTAAGCAGTCGTCTTTCAATTGCGATAAATCTGCGGCGAGCGATGTCAAGCGACTTTCCTAGGCGATTTGGACTGTCTCTGAAAGGTAGGTTTGCGTCCTGTAGCGTCCTGATGAGTTGTAGCTAAGAAGTAGTTTTCGCATATACGATGTTCAGGCTGAATCGGTTTGACTGTTGTGTCGACTGCTTCAAGCTTCCATAACAGCTGTAGATTTTCATCGATAGAGCTTTCGTTTGACAGCAGATAAGACGCAGATACCGCCTGACGTTGACGTTGATATCTGCCTGAAACGACCCAACCCAACAAAGTTTTTTGAAGCGTAGGTAAGTTAGAGCCCAGTCGTATTTGACCAACAGAAAGTGCGTCGAAGAAGGCCTCTGTGCCAAGCAACAAATCGATGCGCCGCGGTTTAAAGAACAGTTCGTCTGCTAATGTGGTATTGGCTGGCAGATTCCAAGTTGAAGTGTCAATTTCACTGTCAGGTTGATATGCGATTTGCGAAGTAATTCCAAATTGCAATGAAAGTTCGAACGATGAAGTGCGTGATTTGATGGTAGTTGTTGTGCGTGCCTTGAGATTGGTGAGTGATTCACCAATACTCCGAATGCCGACATAATGCCTTTCTCTGCTAAGCCGAAGTTTTTGAGCGAAATCATCGGTGATGAAGTTTACTTGGGAGCATGAATCGAGTAAGGCTCTACCAAGTTTGTACGCGCCTGTCGAGTCTTTGACGAGCACCATAGCCGTTGCCAGAATTACGTTACCACCCTCCGATAAATCCATGTGCGAATGCGTTGCTGCTTGCAATGAGCGTGCCTCGTTGTACGTTTGCTGTTTACTAAACGATTCGGATGATTGTGATGATGCATTATTCCACGGAGCTCGAGCAGAATACGAAGGTTGTGATGAGGTAGTAGATGATGATGCTGTCGATGGTGACTGAGACGCGTTGTCGTGATGCAGCATCGTGTGATGGGCACGATTGCATGTGCGACAACGATTCTTTGACGGACACTGGGCGATTCTATGTCCGTTGCTAAGACAGTTGATACACAGATCGTACCGCTTTGCGGCGTCGAACCGTTGAGTGGTATTCAGCTCCTTGAATTGCGTGCAACTACTGATTTTATGATTGGAACCAGAACAGAGAACGCAGCAAGGTTTAGTAATGGCGAACGATGACTTCTGACTGTTGGCCCCTGACCGATTTTGCTTGTTTGAATCAGATTTGCGCTGCAAAGACGATTCAGATGAGTATAGAAATTGGCAGTGACGTTCCAAGACCTGAGTGCACTGAGACCAGGTTGGAAGTGATTTATAATCTAGAGCTTCATTCCACTTGTTACGAGTTTGCTGGTCACATTTGCTTATAACTATGTAGATAAGCATTGCCTGTGAGATGTTCGTGCTGGTGCCCAAAGACTCCAACGAGCTGAAGATAGCCGACGCTTTGTCGACTAGGCTGCGCAACTGTTGAGGGTTTGGTTTGTCAACCGATTGCAACGTAAACAGCGAAGCAATGCCTTCTAAAAATATTAAGGTAGGATTATCGAAGCGTTCTTTAAGCCTATCTAAAGCCTTCGGATAATTCTCGCTTGTGACCTGAAAGGCTTTGACGGTTTCTAGTGCTGCCCCTTTCAAGCAAGATAACAGATAATTGAATCTTTCGATATTTGAGAGTCTAGGCTCACGTGCAATTATTTGGGTGAAAGACGTTATGAATTTTTTGTATTCAGCGTAATTTCCACTAAAACTAGGTAGCGACAACCTTGGGAGATGTGAGACGGTGGAACCAGACGCTGATGATGCCGGCTCAGTATAATTTACAGTACTGTTCACATCCTCGCCAAGTTGTGCTTGAATACTTAGTTTAACTGCGACGTAGCTATCTTCCAAATCCGCGCGACCATTATCTGTTGGATCCAAATCCTCTATTTCAGCTTGTACAGATAACGCTTGTTTAAAATAAGATTCTAAAATTCCTAAACGGCATTGTAGCTCGGCATGCCATGGTTTGTCCTCAGCATCTTTAATGACATCAACAATAGATTTGATGCGTGATATGTTTCGTTTTATGCTTGCACGCTTGCGTTTACACTCTTCCAGCGACATGTCTGGCTAACACGATCTGCGATATCAATTGTCTGTTGGGTTAACAAGTAGGCAAAATACCTGACGACGATCAAACGGTGATGTTAACCGCGACTGCGAAGCAAATCAACAAAAAATAAGCAGCACAAATGCAGTGTGCCAAACCAGCAAGAGTAGAACGATGTGATAAGCAGCGACAATTCGTGTGCGCAGCGTGAGCAAAAACACAAACGCAGGAATGATGTATACAGAGCCGGTAGGTATAAGCAGCGCAGCGTCAGCTTATATCAACACAGCGACTTCAAAACGCAGGCAGCGAATGTGGCGAAGGCGTAAAAAATGCAATAGAAAAACTAGGTTTATCATACATACATACGCTTTCCAATGAGCGGTGATTTTGAAGGGCGATCAATGACATGCGAACCTTTAGGCGTTTGACCAATTTAACTGCAGCGATGCGATAGAGAACTGTTTGTACCAAGAGAACGGGATCCACGGTGGGAAATTCACAACAAGTTAGCGGTGACGAAAAAACTGCAACAATGGTACTGCGATGTGTGCAAGAACCGTTTGCCACTAGATGAATGTTTCCTTTTGGTTGATAGGAAACTTAAATGTCATTTCGATATGCCGGTTAATTTATTCGAAATAAGATTTTACGTATATTAACTTATACGTTTTGTTACACACTGCCCCACGTTGGGCGCCAAAAATGTTGTTACAAGAAGCTCTTTTCTTGTTAGCAAAATACTACAGTAGCGGGCGGTGTGTAAACCTTGATAAGCGAACAGATTTACCGAATGCCCAAAACGCAACGTATGTGTCCAATTTGATGACCAGCAAATATCAAACGATGTGCTTCTCTCGAACGAATGATTAGCAATAGTTTATTAGAACACATATTAAACTGTCCATGCTGATAACTTGGTAAACGAAAACAAGTGAGAGTAGGAATGAGTGTAATTACCAGGGAACGGATTTTATGGAAATTGCCTTTTTTTCTGCTAAAGAGATAGAATATATTCGATTAAGAAAGTCCACGATTTAGCTTTCCCTGATTCCATATATACACATTTGATGTTACCTTTTTTTGCCTTTTTTAAAATATTTGCCTATTTTTTGCCTTTTTTAAGATATTTGCCTTTTTTGCCTTTTATACCTTTAAAAAAGTGATTATAGCATTTACAATTTTTTTTTTAAAGATTAAAAAATATACACATGCCCATGCGGCTTATAGAAGCCGTTTTCTCAGCTAACGTAGGCTTGGAGACAATAAAGGGTGTGGATAAAATTATAAAGGGCGAGCAAAACGCCCTTATTTCTAATAATATGAACGTTTCAAACGTTCCATATTTAAATTGGGCTCCACTTGTATCAACTTACGTCGAGCGCGCATTTAGTACATGCAAGGCTTTTCTTCGCGAAAATCGAATGAAAATGCTGCCAGAAAACTTCAAAAGGCATCTTGTGGTTCAATGTTACTACAACTATACAGATTAAAGTTTTATGAGTTAGAAAAAAAAGGATAAAATAGTCAGAGATTCAAAGTACACATTTTGCATATAATGAAACTAGTTCATAGTTTTTCTCTTTTTACTTGTAATATAAACATTTCTAAAATAAATGTATTTTTTGATTGTTCTTCGTATTTTCTGTCTTTTTTCAGTGCCTTATTTTGCTTTTTTTGCAATACCTAGTGCCTTTTCCTGCCTTTTCGGTATTTTATTTTGCCTTTTTTGCAATACCTAGTGCCGTTTCCTGCGTTTTTCGCTATTTTATTTTGCCTTTTCCAGCCTATTTCGTTATTTTATTTTGCCTTTTTTATAGGTTTTTAGGTCCTAAAAATCCGTTCCCTGGTAATTACATATGTATGTATGTTAGACAGTGTGTGTGTATGTGCAAATATAGAGTTAATGCATGTTAGGTTTACAGCGTCAGTGGAAATTATAGTGCTAACACTTAAAGCTAATATTTTATCTTATTTTATCATTAGGGTGATCCAACACACAATTTGTTTTTATATGGATTCTAAAAAATCAACGGCAATTTTTATCCACTTCAAACTTGCATATAGTTGGACTAAAATTGAAGGGGCTTTAAAACTGTGTGCTCAAAAAAAATCTAACACTTCTGAGAAAAAAATTTTGATTTTTGGGTGAAAATTTATTGTATTTTTTGTAATTTTCTGCGAAGTTTTAAAATTGGGTTTATATTGGGTTTATATGGGTTAGAAATTGAACTGTATTTTTATTGCAAATTCCTAGAAATAAATAAGTAAACATGAGAAATAATATCACTTTGAAATGGGGGTGCTATGATATTACCGATGCTCTATGTATATAATAAATTTTGTATAACTAAAAATCGGAGTGGATTTATTAAAATGAACACAACGTGTTAATTATAAATTCTGAAATATATCGTTAATTTCAAAAACAAATAAATAAAACATTAAAAAGTAGTCAATACGCGCTGAATGATACGAATTTGGATATACGTATACTTGGGTAATGTATAATTCCTTATATGATTTCTCAAACAATCCCTTATATATAGGGCAGCCATAATCTTTTACGCTTAATTCCGGACGCCAGCCAGACTATCCAAGCATGACCTAACAGAGAGATTTACCAGAGATTTCAAGCAAAGTTGCCATGAGTTTTTTAGGTATCCGAAGCTCTTGTATATGTTACCTTTTATCCCTTTCTTATTATTTTGTAAGAACGATAAGTGAAAACAATATTGAAATTATTTTCATAAATGCATTTATACCAAAACCAATCATACATACGCATTGTTGATTAATTGAAAATTAAGGTAAAAACAATGAACTTATATGTATTGCATTTTTCGCATATCGTTGGAAGGTACTCAAAACAGGAACTTAAAAAAAAAATATTAAGATCAATTATCAAAAATATGTGTTTATTTTTCATATTAATCATTGGTAAGGGACTTTTTCAAAAGAACAATCATAAAATGACGAACAACTTTCATTACAATTCAGTTTAATCTGTAACAATGCACCTACGACTAATACACGCAGAGGATTTTTATCTTGGGACCACAAATGTTTCATAAGAGAAAATGTCCTTTCTACTGACGCAGTTGTGCCTGGAATACACAAAGCAAATTCAACTAGCATTAGTATACTTTTTAAATCTACACTGGTCGATTGTGCCATGTTTTTAATTGCATTCGACCTTTCTTCCATTCTTAATTTCTGCCACTTTCCGCGCGTTTTTTCTTTACTTACTATAGTGTTTACACAACCAATCTCGTCAAAAATAGTATCTTCATCGAACTTTAGACTAGTATAACATCCTATTTCAGTAATAGTTTCTTCAACAGTTTTCCAAGATATTTCGTTTTCAATGCTAATCCAAGTAAGATTTCCAAAAAAACTTAAATTTTGACCCCAAATCTCAAGACTGTTTACGGCCTTTTCATAGAACTGTACTACTCTCTCCTTAAACAAAACATTTGGATATTTTTTAACATATGCAATCCAACATTGCTTAAGAGAAAATGGAATGAATATCTCCTGTTTACGAATCTTAATTTTTTGCAATACGTTTTCATATATAAATGCTACTTCTACTGCATTATAGTTTCGCCTTCTACTTTAGTGATATCTTCTTGAAAAATTCCTAAACTAGCATGCAAAACCAAAGTGTAAAATTCATTCATAGGGTCTCCGAAGTATGATTTCAAATCTGAGGGCAGTTGTCTGTATTTAAAAAATATTCTTTAAGAACATCATATTATTGAAATATTCGCCCAATAGCAGATTGCAAACATAAAAACCGCGTATTACAGTGTGAGAGCAATTTTTTTATTCTACTTCTGCGTCCTCGCACATTGCTTTTAGTTTCGTGTTTGTCACAGTGTAAATGTAAAAAAAATTATAAATTTTAACAGCAATTAGTTCAATATCAACGGGAAAACAATCTGCTGCAGTTTGCGCAGCATTATGCAAAACGTGAGCAGAGCATCCTACTCTAATAATGGAGTGACCATCTGATTGTAACTTCTAAATACATTGTTTTGCCCTTGCCTATTAACGCCGCCAAAATTGGTATTTGCATTGTCAGCCGAAAACGCGGCTACCTTGCTTTTCAGATTATATTTTTCTAATGCTAATCAGTTTAGTTTTGATTTCATCTTTGTAGTGATAATAGGTGTGTACTCGTGTTCTCCAGCAGCAAAAGTTCTGAGAATTAATCAGCATTCGCTCTCAAAGAGACGAAATATCAACAGAAGTACGAGAACGCTAATTTTTATTTTTTTTATTTTATTTTTTTACTTCAGTCTACAGAAAATAATCTTACAGACCAATTCGCTTAGTTAAATATGGTAAACAGATCAAGCTTGAATTTTACAATATTAACGTTGAAATTAAGGACGTTACAATAATTGTTACAAAATCGCGCACATCGTGCTATAGGCTCATTACATGCATAATTTGTCGTATTATTTGAGAGAACAAATGGACGATTATTCCTTAGATCATAGAGTGAAGTATGACTCTGAAATTTTTTTGATAACTCTTTACAATCAATATTACCATTAATGATGTTATAGACACAAAAAAAAAAGGATTGTAAACCAAGTAACTTACGTCGACTAATATAAGGAGCTGAATAATTTGGCCAGTCCATTTTAAACAAAGCTATTTTTGTAAAAATTTGTTGTACACTTTCAATTTTCTTCGAATGAACCCCATAGTATGGGTTCCATATTAATGAGCAGTACTCAATGCGGGATCTTACTAGGGCCACATAAAGAGATTTTAAAGTTTGATGGTCCTTAAAATCTTTAGAGTTTCTTCTAATGAAACCGACCATTGCGAATGCTTTGGATACAACATAATCAATATGTTTGGTAAATGAAAGTTTAGTGTCAAAGATAACACCAAGATCTTTAATTTCATGACTTCGACTTAAAATGCAGTTGTTTAATTTATAGTTAAAATATAAGAAATTTGGTTTCCTTGTGAACGTCACAATAAAAAATTTATT